GTGACAAGGGGTGGGTGACAACCATGTCTCCTCAGAACCAGAGGTGGGCACTGCTCCATCCAGCACAACGATGTTTGAAGAGCCAGCTACAACCCACAGGGAGCAAGAAGAGAAATACCTTTGGGACCTAACACTGCTGTTGTAAAGCACAGAAGATACGAGAGTGAGGGGAAGCCCTTGGCCAACCACAGGCACCTCGTTCTTGGCTCTGAGCACCCCTTGCTGTGCCGGGACAGCCCAACCTGCCAAAGGGGGAAAACCCCAACATCCCTCACCACTTGCTCTGCTGGGTTTTGCTCTTAAACTCATCTTTGTGGTGAGAAACCCGAGGAAGCGAAGGGGAAATGCTCCCTGGCTGACCTCTCCCCAGAAAATCCCATCCCATGGGGTGTAGGCACATTCCCAGCACTGTGTCCCTAATCCCCCTCTCCCTGCTGTCACACCACGACACAAGGGAAGGACCATGCAGAAGCCAAGGTGTTGTCGGTGCTCTCAGCATCCCAGATGGGCCGGGAACGGGCCAGGGCTTCTCCTGCATCCCCCATCCATCCAGGATCCTCTCAGCTCCACAGCTAGGGGGAGAATCAGGGCAAGGTGAGCCCAGTTTTTGGTTCACCACTAATAAACAGCCACAATTACCAGCACTCCCACTAACTGATGCTTTGCAGTGTTCTGCTGGGCGCTGCTGAATCAACAGGAGCAGCCTCAGTGTGAGCTGGAATCCCCGTGCGAGGGGAGGGCTTGTGCGAGGCCAGGGCTCAGGGTGCTTCACTGAGCCCACCCCATCAGCTGGAAATGCCCCTCGAACCCCTCAAAACCAGGTCAGGACCCAAAGCCCAAGGAGGAGCCGTTGCTGACACACCAGCTCCTGCTGCTCCAGTGCAACAGCCCATGAAATCAAGCGTGGTTCTGGCAGGACAGGCTGGACCCAGACTTGGGAGCGGGGCTGTGCTGGGATGCTGGATGTGGTGCTGAGGGCTGGGGTCCAGCGAGACCCTGTGAGCTGGGGAAGGGCGATGCTGAGTCCCTGGCAGCCTTAAAGCAAATGCTGCAGCCAGCTCATGTCCATGTGGGCAGCTCCACAGCAGCGCAGAGGCATCTTCGGGAAGGGCAGCAGTGCCCGGCTGCCCCGGGGATGGCAAAAAGGGGGTTTTCAGGTGCTGGCGCCCATGGGACCCTCTGCAGGCAGGTGAGAGGGTGTCACCGTGTTACTGAGGGGGGATCCAGCTCAATCCCAATCTTCTGCTTTCACCTGGAAGGAGAAGGCTCTGTGCAGCCCCGGGTGACTCACGTGAGGCAGGGGCCGGGCTGGCTCTGCCCTGTGAAGGAACCACCGACGCTGCTACCAACAGTTACAGACCAAAAATAGAATTCTGCTTTGTTTTTTTTCTCTTTTTTTTTTTTCTTCTCTTTGTCAAAAGCTCCATCCTCTGAATAGAGCCAGCATCAACCGGCGAGTCCAACCGCTCCCCTCGCTGCCCAGGGCTGGGTGTCCCCATGTCCCCATCCCGCCCGGGGGGCGATGCTCACCCCACTGCAGAGCTGCCAGGGCAGGGTGCGAGCTGGGGCGGCGGGTGACAAGCTCTGTCCGCTCCCACTTGTCTACATGTAGCGCAGGGAACCAGCGAGCAGGTCTGGAGATGCAGCAGTGACAGCAAATGGAGCAGGGTGAAGGCGACGAGGAGGCGAGGACGGCGGTGGGGGGGTCCCCAGCTCAGATGGTGCCTCCAGCGCCAGGGAGAGGAGGCAGGGACGGGCTGGGCGAGGGGAGCAGAGGAAGGGGCCCCGCAGGACCCCAGCCGGGCGAGGGACTGACCCGGCAGCAGTTCTCTAAGTCATTTGGTGAGGTGCTTCCAGCATTTCCATCAAGAAGGTGTCGATCGGCGTGTCGCCTATTAGCTTGAAGAAGAAGAGGTGCTCCAGGCATTTGAGGCCGATGGATCGGAGGGCCGGGAGACGCAGCAGGAGTTTGGCAAACCTGGATGCAGGAGAAATGATATGGTCACACATCCCATCCACACCCCTGCTCTGACCCCCAAAGCTTCCTTGGCTGCTCCTGCTCAGCGGGGCTGGGAGTCAGACACAGCCTCTTCTGACTCCAAAGTCATGGAGCTACACCCAGAGCTGTGCAGAGGAATCATGAGTTACGTCCCCAGCCTTGAAGAGCAGGGCACCACGGTGGCTACTCACAACGCGCTGAGAGCTGAGCTGGAAGAGTCCAACAAGAAATGAAAAGCCATCCCTGGGCTAGAGAGCACCACTGGCTTCATGCACCTTCAGCATGGGCATGACCACTCAGTGAGCACCCCGAGATGCTCATGGGGTCCCTACACTGCAGCCATGGGGAGGAGGCACCATGGGGACAGCTCTCACAGGCAGAGGTGCAATCAGCTCCAGCAGCTCCATCACTGGTCCAGGAAAAGGGATGGAGGAGACGCCGAGTGGGGTTAGGGGGCACTTGGCTCTGCAATGCCCTTTTCCGGCAGGTACTGGGCACCTCCAGTCACCGTTTGGGCTGAAACCCCATTGACAACCAGGCTGGAGGCACCTCAGAGGTGAAGCCATTGGAAGGAGACAAGGGGTTTGACGCAAAAGCTGGAAGGAGCACTGCAAATCGGGGGGACACGGGGTGCTGCCCTTCTCCCTGCCCAGTGCAGGAGGCTGCAGAGCCAGAATAAAGTCACCAGCTCCTGCAAGGATGCCCTGGAGCACCCGGGGTACCCCCAGCATGCCAGCAGCACCCCAGGCTGTGGGACATCGCCCACCTGCACCCTGCCTGCACACAGCCCTTGCGTGAGCGCTCTCAACACGGGAAAAGGCTCTTCAATGGCCAGGAGTGTTTATTTGTTTTCAGTGCTGCACAACCAGGGCTTGAACATCAGCAAAGGCTGAGGCAGCGCAGGGAGAAGGGGCTCTCCAGCACACACACACACACACATATACACAGTTATTCCACATGCGTGCACACTTCTCTCTCCCTATTTTTTTTGCTGAGCTGGCGAGAACAGTGGGAGCGGAGCCAGGAAAAACAGCTCAGCCCTACCATCCCATTCAGGAAGTTTCGCTTTAAACCAAACCAGATGATGGCTCCAGCCCTGGGACACAGTTAACTGTGAGAGAACCGGCCCGCAGCACATCGTGCCAGGGCTGCAGCCCCGAGGGGAGGGCATCACCCCATGGAGCAAGGGGAGCACGGCTGGGTTGTTCCTAGGAACGCCCCCCTCCATCTCCCTGCTGCAGAGAGGTTCCCTTTATGGTGTTTACAAGGTGCTCACCAGCTCTCCATGGCCAGGACCAGGCTACAGTCACAGCCAAAGGGCACCTGAAGCAGTGGGAGCCAACCACTGGCCACAGTGAGGAGCAGGGCACCCACATCCGCCCCACCAGGCGTTTGCTCAACCACAGGAAGAACTTGTTTCCAGGCCCAGATGGGGATCACATTGTGCCATGAGACCAGGAGGATGGAGAGAGCTCCCGAGAGCTTCCTTCAGCTCTTGTGCAACTCTGGACTCCCAGCCCATGAGTTAACCCTCCTGAGGCACCTGGGCTCATTGCACCATTGCCCTGCACTGCAGAAGAGGTGGAGTTAAGGTCAGCAATGCCCAGACATGGCTCTCAGGACAGTCCTAAGCATGCAAAAACCTTTAAGGTCACCAGAAAAGGGTGTGATGATCACACAAGGAGGTCCCCAAACCAAGGTCATTCAAAGCTAGTGAGAGAACAAACTCCAGAGCCTCTGGTGCAGGTACCAGACCTGAAATACTGCCTTACACATCACTGACCATTAAGGCAAAGCCCTGTGGACCTGCTTTGGACTGGTGGCTCAGCAACTCTGTCACACACAGCAGCTTCATGGTCTGGCAGATGAGGACCAGGGCTGTCCCTGTGCCAGCCCCCTCCCAGCCTGCAGCACCGCGCAGCAGCGTGCGAGGGCAGCAGGGCTCAGCGGCGCCAGAGCTCATCCCAACAGGGAAATCACCCAGGAGAGCTGCTGGCCGCGATTCCCCAGGCAGCTCTCCCTGAGCCAGGTAGGGCTGGCTGCTCGCTGTGAGCCCCACGGGGAGCAGAGCTACTCTGAACCACCACAACAGCCAAAGTCCAGGGTCTGGATTTGCTTAGGAACTGCAATTTAATAATGCTCTTGGAAGAGGAATCGGCTTGAGAGTTGGCTTGAGGTGCACACAAACGCTGGAGAGGAGAGGTAACGGCCCCTGCTCTGTGCTCATCCTCACCACGTCAAACACATCCCAACTCCCTGAACAAGCCAGCCATAAACATCAAAAAGCCCCTGAACAGCCCTCTTGTTTCATGCACCAGCACAACGGTACCCAGATGGGGAGAAAATAAGTCCAATATTACTTCTGATGGCATGATGCACCCCCTGCATCCACTGCTATGAAAGCATCCTTTCCTCCATCAAACCACCCAGACAGGGACCGCAGGTGAGGTGTGAATCCCAGTTGCGTGTGTTGTTTTTCCTGGTATTCCCACCTCGGCAGCGACACGCACGAGCAGCAGTTTCCAGCGCTCTGCTTGGGTTCTCAAGTGACTGTCAGTAACTTAACTGGCAGTTGCCAGCTTCAGGCTGTAACTGGGAAAATGCGCCCACTCAGCTCCGGAGCGGTCCAGGAAAGCATTCCTAATTCCCCCTCCCATTCCCAGCTGGATTGAGGGAGGCGGGGAGGGGAGAAAAGAGCATCAATTGAGGCTTTCACTTCCCAGCAATGATGCTCATCTGCCACCGAAAATTAACTCCATGTGCGTCTGATTTTCACTGTGGTTTGTGCTCCAGGGTTGCCAAAAGGGAAATGATGCCCCTTCCCCCCGCAGCAGGGGCTCCCTGGGCTCAGCACTGACCCCATCCCAGCTGCATGTGCGGGAATAGAGACCCCTCTGCACTCACAGGGGACTGTCCAAGGACCTTCACAGCTGAAGCAGGCAGAAACGAGTGGTTTTCACTACAGAGACCTGCTCGCTACCAGGAGACATGGAAACAGAGAGCCCTGAATGGAAGGGACCCAGCATCCACACAGAGGTGCAGTGACCCCGAGGATGGCATTTGGACCCTGCCTGGGCTGCAGCACCCTTTGCACCACGAGTAACTCACCTCCCGGGCTGGTCGGGGTACTTGTGTTTGCAGTAAGCCTCCAGCGATGCGTACACCTTCTCCCGTAACGCCTCCACCTCAGCTGGGTTGGAGAGACCTTTTGAGTCTGAAAGGCAACAGAAGGACCATCAGCCAAAACCCTCCAGGCTTTCCAGGCAGGCAGGGACCCCCCCGTGCTCCCTCCATCCCTCCCAGGAAGACCCTGGCAGGGTGTGGATGTGAGGTCCCAACCCCAGGTATTTGTGGCTTTACCTAACACCTCCCTAGCAGCATTCAAGCCCTGACAGGTTTGCCTTGTGACTACAGCTCTGTTTTACCCTACCTCATACCCCGACCCCAACCATTCTGGCTCATTCCAGTGGGCAGAAACCCTCATTTAAAAGGATTAAGTCTCACTCCAGTCCTGTCCTTGTGGGATTTCTCCCTCCGAAGCACCGTGGCAGGGCTGAACGAAGAGCTGCTGCTCAGCAGGTCCCCCAGGAGCTGGTTTTAGTTGGGTGAAAGGGACAATCAAGCCATTGATATCCCCGAGCACACGTGCCATGGGAACCTCTCCAGATTCCCCTTCTTTTACCATATACGGCTAATCCCAAATTACAGACAATAAATTACTGGTGATTACAGGGAGGGGGGATGATAAAAAAAAAAAAAAAGCCAAGCAGAAAACCAAACCAAGCATCAGCACTAACCCCGGTGCAGCGCCTGGCCCGGGGCCGGTGGGAAAGGACAGAGCAGGAGCCGTGCTGGGGCGCAGACCACGCTCCTGCGAGGGCAGGGAAGGGGTGGCTGCATGTGGAGGTCTGTCCTTGGCTGCTCTGCTTTTGTTCTGGACTGACCCTCTCTAAAGCAGAGAGCCCCCCAGGAGAGCCCCCCAGGCATCCGCGGGCTGGCACTTTTGCCCCCAAAAACACTGGGGATAAGCCCTGGCACCCAACTTTCTCCTTGGCAATGGGGGGAAAAGTGCAGCAGCATGATGGCTCCTAGAGTCTGTAAAACTAAGCAAACTGCAGACAGAAACACTCACGTTCTTGTGTGTTTTATGAGCATATTTCATGCCTTTCACCCTCTCCAGGTCTTCAGAGGGCTTTTCCAGATACACAGTTAATAAAAGCCCTTGGATACTGAGGTTGGGGAACAGGACAATAATGTTCATGCTCTAACTTTGCTCTAATCCACACTTTTCTCCTAAAGGATATCCAAATTCTTTTTTGCTTCTATTCAGGGACAATTCCCTGAAGCACCAGAACTTTGTTTTTACAGAGTGGCTGTAAAACTGAAAATGGGCAGAGTGTGTGATGTGGATCGAGCCAAAGCCCCTCAAGCTCAGCAGAGAGCTTGGCTCCAACAGCAGCATTCACCATCTCCTTGGATGATCACAGCCGGATCCCAGCCAAGGCTGAGCCCTGCACAGGGAATATTCTGGACCATAAAACCATGCTGCCTTCTGCAAAGGGGAAAATACCCCTTGGGAAGGGAGGCCTGGAGAGCAACACAGGGCATGCACCCAGACCCATTCCTGGCCTCCAAAGGATGTGCTTGTAGGGTGGCAGATGCACATGCAGCTCTTCATTTGACTTCCATCTTTCTTGCCCTGCCCTTGGGAGCTGGGTGCCCTCAGTTATTTGCAGTGGAGCTTTATAGGTAAGAAAGGGAGCTATAAGGATGGAGCATCAGCCAGGAGAGGCGAGAAGGTAACGCATGTACCAGGGTTGAAGAGGACAATGGCTCGCAGGCAGCCTAGCTCTGTCTTGTCCATCTGCATGTCTCGCATTTTTGACACGAGTTCTGTCAGTACTCTGCAAAGGACACAGAAACCACAGGCGTCAGCATTGGAATGGAATGGGAACACCCAGGTGAGAGCCAGGGTGCCTCTGGGGCACAGGCAGTGAGGCCAGGAGACAGCGCTCGCTTAGACCAGCCCAGGATATGGCCTCTCATCCTGGATCAAAACCAGCTCATTAGGGACATGAATAGTTCCTGTGAGATACATGAGGGACCATAAAATCAGCTTCAACATTCACCCAGAGGCCCTGGCACCTGAGAGCTGCCTAAAAATAAGAAATACTAATAAAAGCCCCAACAGGTATCTCAAAGCAATTTCCTCTGCGGGAATTTTTATTGCTCCCTTTGCTCTTGCTGCAGGTGCTGGTCATGAAATATTTTCCATGGGTTTTCCTGTTGGATCCTGCAGTGAAGTCATGGTCCTGCACTTGTGACCTCACAGGGAACAAATGATGTCACCAGCTCTGAAGAACAATCTCCTCGCAAAGCAAAGGCACGAAGGTGATTCGGTTTTGACCGAGTCAAGTCTCGGGCAGAGGAATGAGCCGCTATTTAAACAGCGTATGGAGCCCCACCATGGGTCAAACTCCCTGGCAGTCTGGCTTTAGAGCCCCTTTCCCACAGCACACGATTAAAGAGCCCTCAGGATACGCACGTGGAACCTGCAGGTACTTTTGGTGCTTTTTCATTGTGAAAATAAAGTCACGTCTTGGTCCAATTAAAGATGAAAAGAACTAAAGGAGTGGCTTCCTCGTAACAGTAGAAGGCATCTGGACCCCATGAACGGGGCTTTGATTTGCACTGGGCAGCCTTCTCCCTGCCTGTTTTGGGCTGTTGGATTCTGCAGGTTTAAGAGGAGGGGTTTAATGCTGCCTGCAGCAAGGACCAAGACATGATGCGCCCATACACACCATGGGATGGACACGGCTCAGCCCGGGCTCCTCTGGCCATGATCCCACGTGCCAGAGCATCCCCATCCGAACCCTCAAGCAGGCTGCAACGCAGGGAACGGAGCAGCCTGGTGTGGGGATGGGAATGTCTGGGAAGGTGCGTGCCCAGCACCCGTCCCTCTGCCCACCTATCGAAGATGGCCCCGACGCCGGCGCTGTGCGCGCTGTTCCGGTGCACGTGCAGCCCGGTGGCGAGCAGGATCCCGTCTTTCACAGCTATGGAGCGGTGGGAGAAGGAGGCGATTAGGAGCTCGTTCCACCCTGGGGAGGAGAAAACAACCAAGGCCTGGGTTAGAGCCATGGGGTGCTCAGTGGGATCAGGAATCAGCAATATCACCTCCCTGGTGCCAAAAGCAGAGGAGGAAATGGCTCAAGAACCACCTTTGCTGGATCAATATGGGAAGGGAGCGGGGAGCCACCCCCTTCTTGGATGTCAGGGAAGGAAAAAAACATTAAGGCACAAATGCACTAAAAATACATGGCTAATAAAGGAAGCAGCTTCCTCTATAAACCTCGCAGGCACCAGAGCAAACAGCTCTGCCCCGCTCCTCTCACTGCGAGCCCTGCGTTCCCCGCCACCCTGCGTGCCTCCGAGCTGTTGGAGCCCTGTTAACGCTTTTTGTCACTACCTGGGCTCGCTGTCAGGCCATAATGGGCACACAAGTTCAGTGTCCATTATTCAGCTATAAATCAGGACCATGAAAACTCTGCTTGCAGGTTTGATGCTTCTGCCATACACATACAGGCAGTGATCACCTCTCCTCTCCTCTCTCCTGCTGCTGTACAGGGAAGTCCCACATCCATGACTGCTCCACTAACAGCTTTCCATAGCAGCTTGGAAATCAGCTTTTATCTTACTAGTTACTGGACATGGTACTTCAGGAGATGGGAAAACACATCCTTTGAGCCTGGACACCATGGGAGCTTGTTACAAATGGGGAAGGGAGGGAGATGTGACCTCCCTCCCCACCATCCAGTGCCCTTCCTAATTCAACACTTCTTCATTCCCAGCCGAGTTCAAGAATGCCTGAAACAAACCCACAATATAAGAAATGCTGCAAAGTTTGAAGGCTGGAAATTTTGGTGACTTTCAGCCAGGAGAAGCATCTTCAGTGCGACAAGATGGACCTTCTGCAACACTCATCATGTGGCTGGTTTACCCGGCCTAAAGATGTTCTGGGGTCCAGAAACATCAGGACATTTGATGGTATTTTCTTTCCCATGTTGGAGAAGCAATACAACAACATCCTTCACCTCCTCTCCTGCCACAGCAACGTCTTTTCTCACTGACTGAAATAAACACAAGGTCCCCACGTGCCATATTTACCTACTGCCGCAGAGATGGGCTGTGCCATGAGGAATGTTGACAAGGAATAAAGTTCTCTCTTTCCTAAGTGGCCACAGGATGTTTCCACCCCAGTCACGGGAACATCTATTTGGCTATTGGCTGGGTGAGGCCTGGCGCCCGCAGAGGGATTGCAACACTGTGGAACCCAATGGGACAGGAGAGGATGTGGGGCTGCACCAAGGACTGCAGAGCTCTGCAGTTGAACAGCACCTCCCAGAGCCAGACGCACAGAAAGGGCCATGGGTGCCTCCCACCAGACCCACATCAACTCCTCCAACCAACAGGAACCAGGGCTGGTTCACGTCCCTGGCTCACAGCATCCCTCGGTGGCACCAGCGTTCTCAGCTCTGCCCTGACTCTCAGCCACCACCCATCACCCTCCTGCCGCGGCTCCGCGCAGCTCCAGTGGAGCTGAATCCAGCCTCTGGCTTGCCAAGGATACATGGAAGTGGTGAGGCTGCAGGGAGCTGCCAGCATCTGTGCTGGGCTTATTCCAGCTACAGAGCAATGGATTAATCAGCATCCTTCAGCTGAATTATTCCCAATTAGAGCTGGGATGTTTCAGCTGAAATGGGGAACCTATTTCTGCCCAGTGCTTTTAACCAGAGCATCCTCAAAGAGCTGACGAGATAAAAGCAAGCAGGAAAAACTAGGGATAACCACAGGCAGAAAATCTGAGTTAGGAATCAAACAAGTCTACCCAAAGGGTCTTGCATTTCAGGCCAAGCTCTGGAGAAGCAGAGCAGACTCCTTTGACTGTCAAGCAAGGTAGCTGCAGCCTCCAGGGATGCTCTGGCTCCTCTGGCCTGGGGAAGGCACCTGGCAGCACAGTGACCATTGTGTTAATCCATCCCACCCCCAGGTTTCCCCACCAGCCCTAGAAAATGAACTGCAGCTGCAGATGTGGTGCTCAGCATCCTTTGCCAGGCTGGCCGCACTGCAGAGAAAACATCAGGTTATCCCTGTCTCAGCCACAGCATGCTTGGAAACAAGAAAACCCAGAGAAAACAGGCTTCAGAAGCTGGGTTTCCTTCTCCTCCAGAAAGCTCAGAGGGAAGGTTTCTAAATGATTCAGGATGAGAGGAAAGCTGCTGCTGGCCCATGCAGAGACGCACACTCGGCTCAGCTCTGCCTCCAGGGACGCACGGCTGAGCCACACCGATGCTCTCAGCTACATTTAATACTTCAATATTTCATGGGCAGCTGCTCTCCACAGGCCACTCACCCCACTCAATAATAGATGGAGCCCCTCGTTACTTGGGGGGGTCACCTGAGGCCCCAGCAGTGATGCTCAGAGCAGGGAGCCCATTGGAGCCGCTCCAGCTCAGCGCCTCATGGCCACGGGGTCAGAGCCACCACGAAACCCGGGACGGGGTCTGCAGCCTCCTCTCCTCCTGCCCCACAGCAGCAGCTTCATCTGTCCTGCTGACAGCTTTTCTTCCTCTTTAAGGGAGCATCAAGCCAAAGCCTTTTTAATCACTTATCTGCTGATTGGAGCTTTGCAAAGAGCTTCATGCCTAAAACACACCCTCATCGAGCTCTGCTCTTGATTTCTTGCCCTCCCTGGTCTGCGTGTACAACCTGCCAGCAGTAGGAGCCTGTATTTACTCAATGGGAGAACCTTTTTGCAATGAACTGCTCTTCACCTCCCAAAGCCCCTGCTCCTGCAGACCCCCTGCAGCACAGGGGAACTCAAAATAAGCCCAGAGAACCCCATGTTCATCGTGGTGGGAGGGAGAGGCAGGCGATGCCTCTCTCCCCTTTCTGGTTTTCATTATGATCAAACTTTTGGGTCTGATGAAATCTCATGGAGACCCCAAGCACGCTTGGTCTTTCAAGCCTCAGCTTGGGAAGAAGTCAGTGTGTGGCTGCCCTGGTTTAACCACCCTGTGCACATCCCAAGCTCCTTGCCCATCTGAGATGAAGCCAGGCCATTCTTCAGCTGATTGGCAGCTGGTGCAACATTCTGGATCACATTCAGCAACACATCCCTTGGGGCTTTTTAAATCCTGTTTAGCAATTGAATTATCAGAGCCTATTACTCAGAATCATTAATGGCTTTCAAGTGGCTGGGACCTAAATCTAAGTGTGATCCCATCACTGGTGAGATGCAGCATTCCTACATCCCAGAGCCCCACAGGGATGCTTCCCACTCACCTGCTCTAAGCAAGATGACCTGGTCGTCCAGGGGCAGCTCTGAGAAGTGGGGGATCCTCTTGGCCCACTCCACCAGGGTGAAGAGCTGTTTGTCTGCTGCCTGGCATATGTTTGTCACTGGGTCGTTGGGCTGCCAAGAAAAGGATATGGAAAAGTTGGGAGAAGGCAGAGCAAGGAGGAGAGGAGAGGCTGGGGGAGCAGCCGAAGGAGTTTGCTGCCTCCCTGCTGCAGGGAAGGACCCTGAGGTCGGGAGTACCTAAGAAGTATCAGTCACAGGGAAAGGATGTGACTTGGCTTCTCCACCAGGACTGCAGAGACCCAGCATCCATCACACTCACTGATGGACCAAGCGAGCTCCAGCGTGGGGAAGGGCAGGCTCCCTGAGCCAGCATCTCCTGCTCCACAAACCAGCACCGGGTGGGCATTGAAGAAAAACAGAGAAAACCCCTCTCCTTTGAAATACTACCCTGGAACAAACCCCATCTGCTCTCAAGGAGGACAGTCAGCCTAAACACACCAAATTCCTGTTTAAAGGAACTGCTAACAGCTCAAGTGGGCTCGTGATTAGGAATTGGAAGAGCCTGTCTAAGCCTGGCCAAGACAGACCTCGCTAGTACAAGTGTGTGTATAGGGTTTACCTCTCCGGACAGGGATGTAAGAGCCCCTCCACACGTCCCGCTGTAATCCCTGCTGATACCAAGCAGCTTTGATTGCACGAGTATTTTTCTACCATGTCCTTAAAGGAGCAGTTTCCCAACCAGAGGAGGAGTGTTTACTTCACCCCTGGATCATAGGGAGAAGGGTGTGAATGTGGAGGCAGAGCAGACACAAACACCAGTGTAACCTCTCGCTCCTGTGAGCCGTGGTTCCACTGGGACAAGGCTGTTCCTCATCCGGAGCTGGCTGCGCTCTGGGAACGCTCCCCCGGGCTGGGCAGACCACGCTGCTGACTCCCATTCCAGCCCCTCTGCTGTCCCCTGGCAGCAAACACAAACTCTGGGCCAACATCTCCCATTCTCCAGGCTTAAAATACCCAGGGTCTGGCACACTGAGGCGTACCCGCCTGCAGAGCCTTTTCACCTGCTCCGGGCAGAGATGGATGGGGATGGGAATGGGCTCAGGTTCAGCTGTGCAGCCCAGGAGCATTGCTACCAGGATCATCCCTCCTGCTCTGCCTGGCTCCAGCAGCTCCCCAAGGGTGCAAGGGCAGGGGGGTCTCACTCCAATAGAGCTAGGTCTTCCCTACAGAAGGGGATGTGAGCAGGTACTGGGCTTTTCTATGGGAGAGGGAGATAAAAGGGGATTTCCTCTAGACAACAGGAAAACCCTAAAGTGGGTGTAAGAGCCTTGCAGGGTTAAGTGTTTCGCTGGAAACACAGGGAATGTTGGCATTCAGAGGCACCTGCAGGAAAGGTGAGGGGACACCCACAGCCAAGGCTATAGGAACATCACTGACCTCAAGTCATCTAAGCAGGCAGGTGAAGAACCCTGTGTCCCATCTCCCATGGGATGGAGACATGAATTATGGGAGACCCCGTGCTCTAGGAGAACCTGACCCATGGAGCACAAGTGGCTGCACACCCCATGAAAGGATTATTTTGGGGAAGTTGGATGCTTTTGCCAAAGCTTTGCTCAGGGGTTGCCTCTGGGCAGGTTGTCCCTGTCTCCAGGACTTGCCCTGATGCAGCAGGCGGGTTGATCACCGCTGCTCCGCAGGCAGCACACACTGTACCTGGCCCTGAGCAAGGGGCCCAGCCTTCAATGACACCTCGGATGGCAGTTCCTGGAACCACCTCGCTGCTTCCTGGCAGAACTTAATCACCGCAGCCCGAGCGGCAGCTGAAGGTGTCATCGCCGAGAGGGCCCTGCCTGTCCCCAGGAGGGATCTGCGCCGCTGGACACCCTCCCCGTGCACCGTAAGCAAAACCCTCCTGCAGTAAATAGCAAGGGCACAGTGCCGGAGTGTGACAGGAGGAAAGGACACGCGGGCACCTGATCCCGCTGGAAAACCGGAGCTTGGAGACAGCTTCCAGAAAAGGGTGACTTGAAACCAAACGTTCAAAGGCCAATTAAGAGCTAATGGGGACAGCAGCTCTCAGTTACAGGCTTTGCCTTTCGGTGGCCAGGAGCCCGTCCGAGGTGGTGCTTAAGGCTGCAGGAGCCTGGCTCTGCAGCTGCTGGGACAGAGGGAAACCCATCCTCACACCCACCGTGCTGCCCAGGACAGGTACCTGCCGAGGGTGAGACCAGCTCTCCAGGGACAGGGATCACACACAGGCTGGAGGCTTCCTGGGACACAGCATGGAGGAATCCTGCAGCCCTGCTTGATCTCAGCTCATAGGACCCTCCCCAAGGGTCCACCCCTCCACCAGGGTCAGCATCCCAACCATCATCAGCCCTTTGGAGCAGCTGAAGAGCTTTTATCAGGGCCTCACAGGTGCCATTAATTCAAGTGAGTGTTTTAGTGATTGATGGTCATCGAAACACCGGGTCTTGGTACCCTCCCACCACTCAAAGCAGGAGGAGAGCAGTTTGCAGGGGCAGATCCCCCTGTCTTAATTCCTTTCTGCTGGCTCAGTGTCCTGCCTTGTCCGTGCCACTTACACAGGTCCCACCCCACTGTACTCCCCATTCCCAGACCTGCATTATTCAAACCATGAACACATGCCACCCTCTCTGCTGTCAGTCAAGGTGTCAGGAGAGAGGGTCCCCTCCACGCTCCCATGCTCAGTCTCAGAGCAGCACGCTTTGTCAGCAATGTGTTTAGATACCGGGGCTGCTGGATCAGCTCATGGGGGCAGCCCCCCTGCCCTTCCTCTGACCAGCCCTGGGGACTGTGCTGAAGCCCCACACTGGGGTGGAAGGAAGTGGTGCCAGCGCCAGCCTGGCCAAGCGGAGAGCCCAGTGCTGGGATCTCTGCTCTCGGACCAGCCAGGGCACCAGGAGGTGACAGTGACACAAGAGCACCTGCGAGAGGAGGGTGTGAGCTCCAGCAGCACGTGCCACCCCCCGTCCAGCCTGGCACAGCCCGGTGGGGACATCCCCACAAGCGCTGGAGCCCTCCAGCTCTGGCTGTGCTCAGTGCAGATGGGTAAGCGCAGGGGCACAAATAAAAGGAGCTAACTTGGTGCAGGCTCATAGGAAACAGCTCGAGGTTTACCCCGTGTCTATCAGCCTGCCTTTCCCTCGCAGAGGCTCCCAGGGGAGGGCTGGCAGAAGGCAGCTCCTCCGTCTTCCTTCACCTCATCCGGTGGCCTCGTCACTGTGAGCTGCTGATCTCATACATCTGCTCATCGACAGAAGCTGCCTGACAATAACAGGGCATTTCAGCGAGCCTCCCGCTTCTATTTAGATGCAGCACACATCCTTGTTCACAGTAATGCGTGTTGAATTATGCAGGAACCAGCTTTCAATTTGCTACAAGAGGCTGAGGAGACGCAGTGCCAGATGAAGCCATTTATTTCAGCTCACTCTCTGGGGTTTGTGTTCAAGGCAGCACAACGCTGGCTGCAACTCCCCTCGAGCCTTTTCAATCCTGATGGCACCAGAGCCCCTCACTAACCACTGCAGAGCTGTCCCCTCCAAAAAGCCCCTTGCAGCTCCATGGTGATGGGACCCTCAGCTGCAGGGCATCGCTCCCAAATGCAGGTGAGTACCATGGCCCTGGATCTGCTTCTGGAGAGCTTCCCTGAGGCATTGGCTCCATCCGTAGCAGGAAGCCTTATGCACTGAAAGCTCTCATCCAGCAAACCAGCCACAGTGTCTTTGTAAGTAAAGGCTAAAAAGAGCATCCCATTGAGGCAGTCAAGGCTTGGACTCCTACACGAGCAGCCTGACGCTGGGATCTCCTGTCAATCCCTGCCAGAGAAGGTATTCCTGGCTCAATCCTCCAAGCCTCATATAAAGAAAGAGATAAAGTATTATTGTAGCAGCAAATAAATACTGCAGACTCCTCACTAGACTTGCTGGAAATAGCTGCATTTCATCATCCCAAGCCCGGAGACACCAAGCACAGAGCAGTAGGAATTGCAGAGGGATACTTCAGTACATGACCCTGCTCTCGGGGTTAGCTCACAGAGCCCAGCTCTACCTGTGCCCCCCAAGGGCTGTACTAGCCTGGGCAGCGAGTACTTTCTCTGTGACAGGGCTCCTTATGAGGGCTTTGCATAGGCTTTATCCCAGAAACAGGGTTTCAGATAGGCTGGTTCTCACATTCGGAGGCAGCTGCTTTGCAGGGAGGCTTTTCATAGCCAGGCTATGACCTGCTGATACAGGAATCTCTTAGGAAAGGGACCAGGGCAGTTTCCCTCATCACAGCTACTCACTCTTCTTCCATTTCTCTCGTGTGCACAAAGTCCTGTTAGAGCCCAGATGCCTCAAGCAGGCCCAGTTAAAATACAAACTCGTAAAGGGGACGGGAACTTGAAAGCAAACTTCTCAACAACGTTCTCCAGCTTTTCCCTTCTTGGAGCCCAGCAGCTCTATAATTCTGCATCTGAAGAGTCACACCCGGATTTTACAGCTCTTATCTCCCTGCACTTCAGCCACACGGGTCTGTTTGGTGGCTTGACAGGACTCTGAGCTCCCCGAGCACCGGGTGCCTTCCTGCCCTCTAGCACTAGGGGCTGTTGACTAAACTAGAAGCTCCACTGCCGGGGTTTGCGCAGGGGCAGGGCTTGGTGTTCACCTGAGCTGCTGTACTTGTGCCATGTCATCCTGATGCCCCACAAGCCACCCCTTCCCTCCCGCGTGCCCGGGCTGGGGCCAAGGGGAGCGGTGCCTCACCGAGCTCGGCGTCAAGCCCATGTTTGCTTCAATGTATGTCTCTGTCTTTGGCTCCACCGCGAGTTCAGCCTCCAAGATCTTCTCCACGGGCATGTCCTCGTTGGCGCTGCTTGTCGACTCCACCTCGTTCTCGTTGCGGTCCTTGCCCCGCTGCCGCTCCTCCTGGACAGCTGGAAGGGGACAGAGAAGGGACAGGGTCAGTGCAGGGCTCCCGGCCGTGGTGCCACAGCTGAGCTGGGCCACAGAGCTCCATGGAGCTCCAGGCGTTACTTCACCATGAACCCAAAGCATCCTCAGACCTGTGGGATCACACAGACACCCACCCAACCTTCCCACCAGTGTGGTCAGTGGGTCTCGGGCATGGCGAGGGAGGCTCCTGCTCAGACCTGGAAACTCCCCTCTGTGCAGAGGGAGAGGTCCTGGAACAAAAAGGTTAAAGACAAATGACGAAAAGCAAAGCAAGTCACTGCGGGAGAGGGAAACGGACGGGTGAGGTGACAGCATAAGGGAATCCTAAAGAAAAGAGAAATGGGTCAATTTAAAGCTAAGTCCAGAGTTCAACCATCTTCTGATCTTGTCAGCGCTATATCTCCATGGATGTCATGTCATGCATCTAGTTTCCTGGTCCAGCAGTGATGCTAATGGTGGGGATGCCACCAGCAGGACGGTGGTACCGCGGGACAGGAGCTGGAGCAGGGATTGCAGTAGGAGCTCCATGCAAACCACCATCTTGCCTCCAGGCAACTCTAACCAGACAGGGGAGACCTGTCCCAGATCCTGTGTGGTAGGAGTAATCCAGCCAGGAGCACGTCACATGGTGGTGAGTAAATGTCTGAGCAGTGCAGAGATGAAAAACACTTATTAGATGCTAATAAAATTCTCATTAATGGTGTCCCTTTGAAGCCAGCACACGCTTCCCTAAACCTGGGAAGAAGCTTTTTGCAGACAGTTCCATTGGTAACTATCTCCTCCTCAATCATCATGTCCATAACCCAAATCACACACTCTTCCACACACCGCTGTTTCCCACAGTACATTTTCAGCCCATTCTAGCTGAGAACAGCTCAAGCAACAGGAGTTTCCATTCCTGGTCATGAGAGACAACTCCCAGCTCCCTATTGAGGACTGAAGGAAGCATTCCTTAATGTAAAGGGCTAACCTAACACCTTCACCTCTCTGCTGAGTTTGAAGCTGGTTATGTGATGCTAAGCAGCAGGGCACAGACACTGTGCCAGGGAAATCAGAGCCGTCTGTAACACTAAAGGCTTTTTAGGGAATCAGTGGGACCATGGAACATCCCTGATTGTTCTGCCCCAGCCAGGTGAGCTGCTGTTGTCCAGAGGTTGGGTTCATGCCGTGGCTTTTCTCCATCTCAAACAGATTCTGCTCTTCACTGCTTCAGGCCAGCATAAAATCCTGCTTAAATTTCTCCCCCTACCTCTACTCCTGCTTTCTCAGTCATCAAAAGGCTAGAAATCCTTGCTTAATGCCAACCCTTCTTCAACAGCACAGATGCACCAAAGCTCCTCTGGGCACAGTAGGAGAGATAAAACACCTACTAAATAACAGAAAAGCCTGAGAGAAATGCAAACCCTCAACAAACAGGCTTTTAGAAAATGACTTAAATGCCAAAGACCTGATCACAGTCACAGCAGGGCTCAAGGATAAAGGTGCAGCACGTGAGATCAACCTCCTCCACCGCTGGGACCAATCCACTGGGAAAGGGTGTTAGTCCAAAAGACACATCCTCGTGTAGATCTGCCAGTGAGCGAGCTGGGCACTGGGATGTGTGGATACGATGCAGGACATCTGCCCAGCCCTGGCTGGATGGAGCTTTCAGGGATGCCTGCGAGGCAGCAGCTCCTCTAGATGCTGAACCAGTTGCAGATGTGATTTTCTCTCCCTTTGGGAAGCTCAAGGAATGAAGAGGAAACAGCTTCACTCTTCATGTGAGCAACAGGTTCAGTCCTGCAGCAGCTCTGTGCCTGGCCTTGGGGTGCAGCCACCGGTGCACACATGCACTCCCCTCCGATGGGCACCTTCCTGTCACCATGTTCATCCAGATGGGGCACTCCCTGAGTCCCTCTGCAGCATCCGGAGGTTGAATTCATTTCAAACCTTGTGTTTGCACTCCCCTGTTTCAGATTGACCTGGGGTGGCAAAGCCCAACACACCCGAAAGCCGCAGGGATTTGCAGTCACAGCCCGTGGTAGATGTCTGCAATTTACTGCAATCAGGATTTCCCCGCTGACGCCCTGAGCTGGTGCTCCTTGGTGGAGATGCTGAGGAACACATCACCATTTCAGAAGAGAATGGGGACTGTGGTTCTCGAAATGGAGGAAAAAATAGGAGGAGGGGAGGAGGGGAGGAGGAAGGAAAGAAGGAGCAAGTATTCAAAAGCAAATCAGCTTTATTTTAGTTTAAATTATGCAATATGGGATGTTTGTGTGAAGGAACATCTTCAGTAGCGAGGAGAGCCCTCACCATTAACACCTAGCATCATATCACTGGAGTCTGCTCCCCACTCCCACTGGGATTAGTCAACCCACGGTGGAGATGACAAATACATTTTTCCCATGGATTTGGTTTGGGAGCTGCTTTCTTTGTGCCTTACTTATTTTATTTATCTTTTAAAAAAGAGAACTACAATCGTGGCAGCTGCACAGCAGCTTCTCTGGTAATACTGAAATGGGAATACCTTGTTCTTCTTGGCTTCCCAGAGGTCCTGTGCGCCGGGATGGATGGTGCTCCATCCCTGTAACACAGTAAAGTTTAGAAACAATGATCATTATCTCAGTTGGCTCTTGTTGCTTCTGCTGGATCTTTCTCTTCCATTCATGGAAGCTGTAAACTCACAGGCTAAAGAGAAAAATCCAGCGGGGTTCTGCCACTGGCTCCTCCAACCCAAATTCTCCCCTGTGGCACAATCACTGTACCTTGTCTGTGTATTATACAAGGTGCTTCTCCCTCCTGTGTGACACGGACCCCTCGCAGGGTTAGCAAGGACAGGGCACAGAGTGGCAGTGCAGGGAGCGGGTTCTGCTGCCAGCTCCCGTCTCTTGCTCCTCATCCACATCCTGCTGTGACTGAGCCCTTCTGCTTGGCTGGGTGGGCAAGGAGACATCCAGCTTCTGCTCAAGAGGAGCTCAGGAAGAGGATTAACTGCAGAGTGCCTGTGATAACAAGGCACTTGACAGTGTGACCTACAAGGACCTCTCCAAACCTCATCTGGCTCTCCTGCTCTCATTGCAGTAGAATGGTGATAACGAGGTAAAGGGCTGGAGAACACACAACAGGAGGGACAGGCTGGCAAGAGGCCTGCAAGGCCAGTGTGACCCTCCTGTCTCCCATCACACTCAAGTACTGCCTCAGCAGATGGGTTCGTATGGACAAACTATGGAGCTTGCCCGGGCTGCATGCAGGAAGCCATGGAGAGGAGCCCATGTCCTTGTCCTCCTACCTCACCACTCAGGCTGCAGGAGTTAGGTGAGATCTGCTCTTAGGACGATGCTGTTCCAAGATTTTCCTGGTCATGAGGGTGGCACAGCACTGGATCAACACTGTGGATCTATTCACCTTCAGTGCAGCAGGTGAGCCAGACCTATGGCTTGCTGCAACCCAAAAACTCTCTCCTGAGAGGCAAAGCCATCCCAGGCTGTTGGCACCCCGTCCCCACACCGTGCCTTCAGGGATGAGCTTCCCCATGCTCTCCTGTGCTCCCAGCTCTGCCAATGCTTTTAACGTTGCTCAAGGAGACTCGTGTGGTTGCAAGGGTTTCTACTCTGATTTTCTTAACGCAAGGGAAGCATTTAGACCTTGCAATCCACTTGAGGAGAAAAAAAGCTGTTGTAGTCCAAGAGCTGCGCGAGGCAGCCCCACCTCCTCCAGCTATGCTTCAGCCGAGCCAAGGACAGAAGCCTGTTTTCCATGGCACCTGATGAAGAGTGTTATTCTGCTTGATTTGGCCTGTGCTTGCCTCAGGCTGGTTGCTGTCGTTTTTCATCTCGAGCTTCTCCAACCCATCTGCATTTCCCCAGGCCATGGCACAGCAAGAGACGAAGCCCCATGTGTCAAGACCACTTCTCTCTTTAAGAACCAAATCGTGTCATCCCATGGATTGCAGATGAACCCCAGCTGCCCAGGTCCAAGGGCTGATGTGCAAACATGCCAGACCCATCCTCTGCCGGTGCACACATCAACACTGGACTCCTTGCTTTTGCTCGTGGTGCAGCATCTGATGGCTAAACAAGCTGACCAAACCAACCAGTGCCTGGTGCAGTTGAGCAATGAATGTTCCAGCTGCTGGAGAAGAATAAGCTGCTCCTGAGGCCCTGGAGAGGGCTTGGAGATGCCGAGAAACCACCGCAGCATCCTCAACTCCCACCACTGCATCAGGAGCCTCATGATGAGCACTGTCACTGTGCTGTGAGCCCCCAGAATCCCAGTCCTACAGCAAAAGTTCTTTCCTTCCTAAGCCTCGGCTGCTGCAGGGAAACCCAATTCTGTGACCTGCAGACTAATCAGGTGTTAAAAGGAGAAGCCTGTCAAGTGCTCACTCTGCTTTTAACGCCTGGTCACAGATGCCACGCGGGCGCTGGCAGCGGGTCCCCCACACCGGCCACTGCAGGGCCATGCTCAGCACCGGCTTTTGTGCCAGAGAAATGTTAACAAGGGCAGGAAGAGGCCCAGAGGGACAGGATTTTCCACCAAGAGCCCCCGTGGGTAGCAGCATTACAGGCTCATTTGTTTGCTGGGAGAGACATGGAGGCAACAACGGCTCCTAATTATCACTTACTATTAATACAGATATGTGCTTGTTTCTGAGATGAAAATCCATCCATCCATCCAGGAACAATAGCGTGATGACTGGCTGGGGTTTGGCTCTTCTCATGGGGAAGGATAATTCACTCCCACCAAAACTGGACGGAATGGGGTTTTCTCTGGGGGACAGACCCAGCATCTGGAGCCCCTGGGCACAGGGAGCCCAGCACCAACACTCAGCCCAGTCCTTGAGGATGAACAGAAGATGCACTTTTTCGCCTTGGCTCTCCCGTTCTTCTTAGCACACTCTGATCCTTTCCCGCCTTCATCCCTTTTGCTCCTTGCCATTCCGCAGCAGATGCAGAATCTCCAAAGCAAAGTGATGACGATGCTTTCCACACTCCAACAT